ATATCATATAATATCTTTTTCGGAATTTAGAGATTTTTTAAATAACTTTCTGCGCTTTTGAAATATCAAAAGCGATTTGAATAAAAGATGAAATACATTGCATAACTAATTCGGCTGCAGAATATGTTGCAAATAGGCTTTTTACCAACTGTGATGGTAATTTGAAAGGAAAATGAGAACTGTAAATTGCAGGGAGCCCACGAACTTCATCGGTATTTCAGTTGCGTTCATTCCGTCCGTTTGTATTTTCAGTTCTCCCGGCGCGTCGCGACGCAGCCATACTCTGCCGCCTCCGAGCGGCGAATTCTGGGAACAGGGAGCAACTTCACGCTGCGACGACGCATTTAATACGGGTGAACAGCAGCCAGGCGCTTCAGTCTCTAGTTGGGATGCGACGCGCGAGGTATGGAGATGGAGAGTGCGTAGAGGTTACCGCTGTTGGTTCAAATCGTTCTGTGCCAAGTTTGAATGATACACGCGACGCGTTCACGTATCTCGTTGACTACGTTCTACCGGCAATCGTACGCTAAAGTGTGAGACTGTTGGCCCATGACCGGTGAATCGATCGCGTAACACGCGACAGAACGCCCGATGAGAACTGTCAGTCTCGTGCGCGAGACGATTCCGGGTTTCAATTAGTTAAAATATATTCATCGTCGCGTGTGCCTGTCAGGGATACGTGAACAACCTTGGACCTCATCGAAAAGGGTGAGTAAAAAGACATCGTCACTCTTCTCTACTGCGATTACTGAAATCTATTATACAACGTCAAAAAATGATTCTGCACGCAAACCAGATGATCAGATTTGTATAGAAGCTGAAACATTCATGATGTTCACGAAATCATGACTGTGTTACGTATTGATTGCAATAGTGCGACGCAGTTTACCGTCCCGCGTTTTTTTAGGTTCGGTGATATTGCTAGCACGAATTTGTAATCGCATTACGCTAGTTGAAATTGTCATTTCTTATAAACGTGTGCTCTAACTTAAATACGTGTAACGTTTATGAAAACGTTTCTGGTCGTGAACGCGTTTAAGTGTGAGAACATGTCTCGGAAGATCTCCCGACTCGATGAACTTTCGTTGCCCGTGATAATCGCGTGACGATCGGCGAACGGAATTAGTCGATTCTGGAACATCGTAATTGGGTAGTGTGGGTACGTAGATAATTGATCGTTTATGTAAATGATATAGCTGAGAATTGGAAATTTTCATTAAGTAATTCGTGATCCAAAGTATTGAAATTTCTTAGTTACGATTTTCCTTATCATTCCATATTTTGCTATCTTCTAACTTAGCAAGCAGAGTGAAAAATGATATTTACGGACGTGAGAACAAAGAAGCAGTCAGTTCCATTGATTACGCTGAGCTAGAATACATATTAGGTTTTTACAGCGTTCAAATCGTCCTATAAATCGTATTATCATAAATAATCGTAATTTCAACAGGTCGCCTTGGGTCAGCTTTCGGTTTTTATCTCGAGTGCCACGAAAAAAAAGATATGCTCGTATGTCCAATAAAGTATTTTATTGATTCAATGTGAGAAGTGTTTTGCCTTGAGGCCGTACAGCGGTCGCCGGACGAACAAACGATTAGACGGTGTTGTTAGTTACTTTGTTATCTCGTTAGTACAACAAGATTGCAAGTAGTTTGAAATTGATCTAAACAATAACTGATATCTTACTATTCTTACTTCGAGACGAATGACTAAAGGTTGATCTTTGAGATTCATTGACTTGAAAGGCCAGGATTCTGAGATCCACTTTATCTATTAGTCAGTCGCCTATTCTATGAATTATGTCTACTGCGTAAATGGATAAAAAGGTATTATGATTGGTTCGATAGTGATTTATGCCCGGTGTCCTTAGCGAGATGTTGACATCTATTTTTAATTCGATTTACCTTAAAAGCTTTAATAAATTTCCCGTGCGCGCGATGCTGACTCACCTGTCCTTAGCGTGTTTTTAAAACACGCTTAAAAGGCAAATGAGACGTGATTAACGTATCGCGAATAAATAAATCCTCGAGTGACGATTCTCCGTACTGATAATCTTTATACAGGAGTGAATTGCGATTGATAAACTTGTATCGCGATTGATATTTTATCTCGTTCTATTTATATACATCACTCAGAAATTATTCGATTCATAAGAATCCTGCTGGCATTGAAGTTTAATAATCAATATTTTCCTAATTAAAATCGGTATCTCTTTTAATAAATTGCAAAATCTTGCGATTATTAAACTTGTATTGCGACTTATATTTTATCTCAATAATTTCCCTTTATTTACGTCTAATAGAAATTGTTCGATTCAAAAGAATTCGCCAAGCATTGAAGTCTAATAATCATTATTTTCCCCGCGTAGCATTTGTTTTCTAATCCAAATCGGTATCTCGTTTAATAAGTTGCAGATTCTTGCGATTATTAAACTAGTATCGCGACTGATATTTTATCTCAATAATTTCCCTTTATTTACGTTTAATAGAAATTATTCGATTCATAAGAATTCGCCAGGCATCGAAGTCTAGTAATCATTATTTTCTCCGGGTAGCATCTGTTTCCTAATTCAAATCGGTATCTCGTTTATCACCGCGGTGCTCGAACACGCGGGTCTCTTTATCTCTCGGATCGTTTGTCCAACGATAGCGACGAGTACATAGATTTATTCAATTTCCATCGGCGAGGTTAGAGGTACCTCTCTCGGAAATCGTGCGGAGATCAAGATCCCGGGTTAGACAAAGGTTCCCGCGGCACGAGATTTCGCACGAGGAAACGCGAGAACCGGCAGTCGAGATACCACGGTTGATAGTTCGATGTTGGCGGATAGCGAATCGTCAGATGCACTTTTAAGATATGATCGTACACAGTACCAGCGAGCGCATCTCTTTCGAAACCGCGCCATACCCACCCGTGAAACTCGGCTCTAAACGGCCGATGATGAATCACCGGCGTGCGGCAATTTGTCGGGTCTTTGATCGCAAACTGAATTGCGGTGTACTTACTCTTGGAAAGTGCGACCCGAGTCAGCTAGGAACTTCTTATTTAGCTAGTAGAGACATTGAGGCAGGTGACGTTCGGTCCCTGTCGCAGATGGGACTTTTTAATAATCCCGTAGATCGTTTTCATTAATTCTGGATTAGTTTGCCGGGTTATTGTTAGCCGAACGATAATGTATTCGCGCGGAAAGATCGTCGCCGGATTATCCGGGGACAATAGAGAAAGCGGAAGAGATTAATGGAAACGGAGAGTGAAAATTCGAATAAATAGCGATAATAAGAATAAAGAAGGCGCCGGATCCGCGAAGATGGATGCTCCGGCCGGGGGAAATTTGCATATTATGTCTTGATACACGGGTTCCGGGAATGCAAATAAGGCGGTTAAGAAAACTAGTAGGCAACCGAGCGCGCGCGTAAACAATGGCGATGAAAATATTTGCGCGGCCACAGGGGAAAGTTGCGAGCACCGGTAACGCGTGATCCCACCGAATCAAATCTCATCGGATTCGAACTCTTCAGAATGATTATTATTTCATTTACGAGAAGCTCCGTATCTTGTAAATGACTCGTTAAAATTGGACTTCCAAATGTCTGAGGCTGCGTTCTCAGGATTTTGTTTTTTGGACTCAAGGGTGTTAAAAGCGAGAGTCACACTCAAGACGCGAAAAAGTAGGGAACGTGTTAATCCGAAGAGGTGCTCGAGCCTCGGCTCCGGCAGCAGGGGGCAACTCGGTTGGAATGGCGAGTGCGCGGCAGCGGCCGGTTTAAAAGTGAATGGGAGAAGCCCGTTCATTCACAAGATTTTCTGCCGGTCAGTTTGGTGCGGAGCGCGTCGAGCGCGTGTTCTGCGCGCGTTCCTCTCCGAGCGAATTCTACGCGTGCCCCTTCGTCGCGAGACGAACTATTTTCAGGCTCCGCGCCGCTCGCCTCTTCCTCTTCTTTTTGCCAGCATTTGTCAGGAAAGAATGTTACTGCCTTCCCGTTTCTTTGTCGAGGTCGAGGGTCGCGTTACAGGTTTTTGAACCTCAGCTCCCAGCCTCGTTATTCGATTAAAAAGTTTGCAATTTGGCAACATCAGGCTTAAATCCGATCAGAAATCGTATTTCTGAAATTTTCCTTGCCAAGGAAAAAGGCGAAGAATTAGAATTTGACGAATGACTAAATAACGTTGGCGTTATCAAATCGCGGCAGCTGTAAATCTGTTGGCCGTCGTCGGGTTTCTTAATATTTATCATGGCGAATAATTTATAGCGAAAATCTCTCCAGCGACATTATCCAAGGAAAAAGTTTGGCATCCGGTGCGTATGCACAGATAACGGATTCCATACAGTCGCGTGGCTAAATTCGTATTTGTTTACCAGTCCCGTTCGATCAATCATCTCGATCCGACACGCTCTCTTATCGTGTCGCCTGAATATTTTAACATTTTACACGACCGAATTTTTGTCACCGATTTCAAGCTGTCGAACGCCTTTCTATTTTACATCTCGCCTCCCCCCTCTCCCGTTCGCGATTGATGGCTTTACGGTGATACTTCCATCGAAACAGACGTAGAACTTCAGAAATAGCATTCCCTTAGCAACGCGTGATTCTATAGATAAACGTTCCCACGTGTAAACAGAATTTTAGAAAAGGAATAGAATTTTAGAGAACATTGTCCTCCAGCCTGTTGCGACACGATGCATCGTAACGACCAAAGCTCTGAAACGTTCCTGCAGCTACATAAGATTCTATGGATAAACGTTTCGAGCGGATTTTCGAAATAAAATATAATTTCAGTAGGACATTGTTTCAACCCATTGCGACATGATAAATTGTAGCGAGCAGGATATTCCGAAACGGTTACACAAGCGTGCGACACATTTTAATCGAATTAGGAGCCATTCTCACAGAGGGGAGTTGCTCGGTTCTGACAGAGTCGTTAAGATCGAACGTACGATTCGCGTAGTTTTATCCTTTGCTCGATCCTTCAATGAAAACGGAGTCGCCGGATCGATAAGGATCTGAGTCGCGGCTGGTCGTTAAGAATAAGGACAACTTTTGCATAATCCGATTCGCGAGAGCGAGAACTATTCTCGGCCGGCGATAACTCGCCCGGAATTCGCGCTCGCAAATTGCACTTGTCGCTGCTTTGCAATTTACACGACTTGTAATTGTCTCGACCGAGGACAATTGAACCCTAACAGACTCGTTACAACGATTCAGGCCGACTTATGATTCTCGAAACCACGAGAATTACTCATTTCGTTTCCTTGAAAAACCATATTATTTTCATTCATTACGATTTATCGGGCAGCTCGTGCGTGATCGGTGCGCGACGAACAGGGCCAGAAACGTTTCGGACGTTATCGGCCCGCGATACGGGGCTGGAGATATCCCTTATCCCCGCGGAGCCGTGTTCCACGGTATTACGATGCAGGCATTTCGAGAGCGAGCCTTACGGCGATCTGCATTCGCGGCGCATGCCAACGAGGCGCGTGCACGAGTTGAAACAGGTTCATTTTCCTCGTCGCGAATGAATGAAATCGTTACTCTCCGCGTGTTACGACACGCCGGCCACCCGGACACTTTTTATTCCCCTTGGCTCGTTTCCATTTCGTTATGGAATATGGTTATTAGCTCTATACAATTGCACCTTCGTTTCCTACCAAATGCCCATTAAGCAAACAGATACAGCATTTCACGAAGTGCTGTTTACGCGGTTTAAACGGTCGTCGATAAGGATCGAGCGTCGTTTCAATTTTTTATGTAATTCCGTAATATACTTTCGGACGGAAATTCACTCGTCCATCTTTTACTACTCTCGAGATATGCGAGCTTATTTACGACAGATAATTCTTGGCGAGACGTATCCGCGCTTTCGAGAGCATTTAACACAAGTCGGGATCGTCGTGTCCCACGCGTGGGTGCGAGTTGCGAGATAAGCTGCATGAAGTATCGGATTCCTTGGAAAATCGCGGGACTGTTTTACGCGGGCAGTGCCTGTAAATCACTCGGGTATTATCGAGGGGGGCATTTGAAGTGCACGCTGGACACGTAGATGGAAAGGGGTTGATACCGTGCGTTCCTTGAACGACCGCGAGGTCCGAAGGGTTCGCAATAAAAAATCTTGCTCACGCCGTCGTTAGACTTCGTAGAAAAATCCTGTGCACAGAGAATCGTTTTTTTAAATCTGTCTGATCATCGTTCACGATCGATTTCCAGTTAGAGGATTAAATTACATTTCTACTGACTCGCGCTGGCTTTCCGTTTATGACACCGAACGATCGCGGTCGATAATTATCGCGTCGGGCAAGGATATTACGTAAATCGCAGCTAATTATGCGGAATCGTGGATAGGTAGGAAAAAAGGTGGCAAGAACTGCGATCCAGTTGACATTTAATTGATCGTTAAAAGAGCAAATGATCGTTAATTCCGTGAAAATTATCGATTCGGCTTATCACAGTTTATGCCGTTATTGAATCCGCGAAAGCGATTAGGAAAACCGAGTCTGCACGAGTCTACATGATTAATCGATCCAAGCTGGCACCGAGTCGTTATTAATTGCGGGCGACTCTAATTTTCATTTCTAATCCTTACGTCATTTTTTTTATGTAACCGTTACGTAATTTTTGTCTGAGAACGAACCGACGGATTCGTTCGATCTCGATAGATAAGCCGAAAAAATTTACACGAAAATGTTCACCGGTTATCTGGCGGCAGCTCCGGGCAAAGAAGGAAGGGGTTATCCGTGGCCTTAGGGTTTTTATTATTCCATCGAACCGGCGCGGCGCGAAAGGGACGGGCGTATGAAAAGGTGCGTGGCCCTCCTTCTCGGCAGGGCATGAAAGAGAGGCTCCCGGGTTCGTAAGTTTACCTACGTGAGCGTACTTTAAAGCCGTACTTAAGCTCTGTGTAACGGTATATCGCGCGATGCGCTACGCGGACGCGGAGACAGAACCGTGTAAGAGACGTCGAGTGTGTGCGCACTCGGCTCGAGTGGACGAGTAGATGCGAACGGAAAATGGGAGAACAGTGTACCGAGCCCTTCCCCGTTTTGCTAGTTACCGAGTTTTTAAACTTTGTCTCTTACCCGTCCCCGACGTCGACGGACTTACATTATTTCCGCGTCGCATCGGCAATTTCGAATGCAGCGGATGGGTTCGATGGTGAAAACGATGAGGCGAACACACGAGAACAGTGGGCGGAGTAAGTAGATCGGCGGGTTTCATTGTTTCCCCCTCGAGAATTCGCGGCTCTTGGAACGAGGTTAATTGGAATCGTACGAACGAGCGTATGAATGAATCGAGCATTATGAATGAAAACGAGGGTCCGAGGTAATTGAGGAAGATTAATTAGTCTCACGCTTTGATCTTGAACCTTTCTGCAATTCTTTTCGTGTACCCGTCCCGTCGGATTGTTTGCGCAAAGGAATGCAAGTAATTAGAAAATTTGTTTACGCTCGTGAGAAATAGAAAAGGAATTTCTGTTACGTGGATTCCATTTTTCTTTTCGCGTCATCGCGAATGAAAGTGGTCAGAAGAAATGCAGGGGGACATAAATCGATTGGAGTTTATCGCGAAACGATAGGGATCGCGTTTGTGCCGGAACTCGTGAAAGTGTTGCCGATCCCCCGGGTAGGTAGGTGTATGAAAACGAGCATGCCTCGTTTTACAATCCCCGATACACTTCCGTCTTCTACGGTCGAAAATTTTCCAAGTCTCTCCCAGCCACAGCAGCTTTTAGAGAAATCATCTATACGTTTTACGAGCCGTAAACGCGTCGAACGTCTCGCCTCGTTCTCCATGATTTCGTCGTTAATAAGCTTTGAGAAAGTTTTAGACGACAGGACTCGAAATTTATTCTACGAGCTTTCCTATCTGTGTTCTTCATATTTCGATTACCGGTGTCCGACCTACGGTAGACAAAGGGTTCGATGTTGGAACGACGAAGGGTGTAAATCACGCGGGAATTCATTCGCAAGGACAGAACGCGGAAAATGCCACTCGCGGCAACGTTTTCACTGAACGAGGAAGAGATAAACTTTGCAGTTTGCCATTTAAGAAGGAGGCACCTGTGGCACGTGAGACTGCACGGGGTCCCGCGCCGGGAGCTTAAACGAGGAGTAAATCAGAATCCAGGGAAACGGGCTGACATTTTAACACTCACCTTTTGCCGATATCCACAATGACCGTGTAATAAGAAAACTGAAAGGTCTCATAAGAATTGCATCTCATATATCTTAGCAATTTGTAATTGATTCTGTCTAACGATTTCAAACAAATCGCAATTCGAGTATCGTAGTCCTTTGAAATAAAGAACGCAAAGAAACCCGTATCGATATCGCATAAACCCTCCGACCGCGGCTTTACGTTTCCATGCCTTTTGTCCTACGCCTTGCCCTTTCTCGGTCTCGCCTTTGTTCGTGTCGCGTGCCCTTCGTCGATTTTTATCCGACCCAACGGCCAACAGTTGCGTTTGATTCTTATTGTTAGCGAATTTTTCCAAGACCTGTTCCTTCTTCGGGACCTTCGACCATCTCTCAGCCGGGTATAAATTCTCAATCCAGTGAAATCGATATAAAATTAATAGAGTGCACTCTGAAATATGTATTTTCGAGTTTATAAGCTAGTTTATCGGAAATATAAAACCGATGAACTGAATCGACTCCGACTAAACTAGCAGAACTGGACGATAGATTTGGTTCCCGTCGAACTGCTGTTTAACCATTGAGCTAGCAATAAAACCGGAGCCCCTATCGTATAACAAAACTACTGACAAAAGAAGGTTCTCGTTTTACTAACGTACAGCAAATGAAAGGACGGTCAGTCCGTCTATGGGGGGCAAGTACGGTAGTCCATTCGATCGGGAATCATCCTTTTATGACCGCAATGGAGATTTATGAGGAGGGTAGCCAAGGGAGTTGGGAACGCGATATGGCACGGAGCTGGGATACATTGTGCAGAGGACAGCGTTCTCTGGGGTGGTTTTAACCGGTTTTAACTTGGGGAGAATCCCCGAGCATTGTCTCGCAAATCCCTCGCGATTTCATTGCCCGCAACTCGTTTCACACTACGTTCAATTCGTTTGACGTTCGATCGTCCGGCGTTCGAAATCTTAATTGCAAATTACGGCCAATTGTGAACGAGGAGGTGGAGGAGGGACGGTCTCGCCTAGCCAATAATTTTCTCAAGATCGTAAAGATACCTGGACTCAGCCTATAAACCGATCGTACACGTTCACCCACTCGATCTATAAATAAAACCGAAATGAATTAAACGCTTGCTAGAATGATTCTAATAATGTGCAATCGAGCGGCGCTTGAGCACTTACTTTAGTAACCGAACGCGGTATAAATTTCAATTCACCAGAAACAATGTGCCTTATCCGCGAGCCTATCTAATTCACTTAACCGACTAGTTTCCACCGTTTTCATTCGTCACACAAATTTCTGTTCATAAACAATACACTTTACTCGATCTTCAGTCCTCTAATTAGGTGATTTCTAAAATCTACGCGACATCTAATTGTACATCGTTTAAGATTCGTATCAATGTATCGTCTAATTGTTCGATTTCGTATGGTTTCAGATATCGATTCCAATATGTCGGTGCTATTGGAGGCGAGGTCTTACAGACCTTTCAAGTCCTCGGAGGAGTATCTGATCGCGATGAAAGAGGACCTGGCCGAGTGGCTGAACGCTCTCTATCCGGAGCTGAGAATCAACGTTGACAACTTCATGGACAGATTGGACACGGGCGTCGCTCTGTGTAAAGTGAGTACCTACCTGTAGAGCGATTAGCGGATTACCAGACCTGAACCTCCGTTAAAACTAGAACCTTCTTAACCGCCGTAAAGTGCGATTTGAATACCCGGGTTTAGGTATCCGTACGGATGAACGCAGGTAGAATTCTGGTACGCGGCAATTCTATTTTATTGCAGTACTCTTTCCGGTCATTAAGTCGTTTTGTACATTGTACGTGTTAGGAAGCGGATAATAAAATTGTTGTAGGGAGATTTTGTTTAAAGAGTAATTTCCACGGACTAGGGTGTGTTCGGCTATTGTAATAAGCTCGGGACCGGTATAAATGCTCGTCCACCAGAAAGATTAACGGTAATTGCAGGCAAACTCGACGAGGGACACTTTTGTGTTTCGACTATTGGAAATTTCGAAGTACCGTTGCATGGGATGGTTATTACAGGTGTTTAAAAGATTAAGATTATTCTTGTCCGACGCAGGTAGTACGAATTCCCGTGAAGGCAGTTTGTTTCTCAGAAGCTTCTTAAAAATTCCGCGCGCGAGTAACGTGAAAACGACGAGTGTAACGAGCACACACGCGTTAAAAGAGGCACGTACGTTCGGTCGCGGTGAAGCGAAACACAGAGGAAGGAGGATGCGTGTGTGACGTCCACCGGAAGCTGTTGCTTCAACGCCGCTTGAATTACGAATTAAGTCGCGCGCGCAGAGGAAACTGCAGTGAGAACGATCACGAGCGCGAAAAGAAACGAGTGCTTCTCTTTCCCAACGGGAAGGTGCAAAGCGTTTAAGGTTTGTCAGCATAAAGTCGAGCAGATATTAAAACGAGATGAATAGTCGCGATCTCTCCGTGAGATAGTTCGGTCAAATGAATCTGTCGTTTAACACTGGCGAGAATGCGCGCACTGGAAACGAGTTCTCGTGGCGACGCAAGGGAAGAATGTCGTCGCCGGCATTGGAAGCGATCATTAGCCAGGCGCGAAAAGATCGGTAAAAATTACGGTGCCCTGGTATTATTATTATTAACTGTTGCAACATTTTGACACACGTGCCACGTAGAATGTGCCAACGGACGTGTAAAATGTTTAATAGAAAGGGTTGCTCGCAGGAATCCCCTTCGATAAAGTCCCGCGGAATTTCCAATCGAGATAAAAGGCGAATTTGCATCGGGCGAAAATAACTGGTCGTTGCGGTTCGTAATGCCGCGTATAAGTTTGCTCGGTTTATAGTCCAGCCCGGGACTAGTTTAACGACACGCGTTCGGTATACATATAGCAGCGACCGACGTCGAAACGTTTCTAACGGTTGATACCGGTTGTATCTTTGAGTTAGATCGTGTTGTCCCGGCTGTTAGTTTTCAGATGTTTCTCGGCTTGTCCCGGGAGCTGTTACCACCGGTCTGTGGTTAAGATGAATGGCTCGATAGCTTTTCTATCGCTGATTGAAAGCTTCGGATAAAGGCAAGAGACAACCGTGCACATTTACAAAATATCCCGCTTTACAACACATGATATTAGACGAATTCTTTCAACCGATAAACAGTATCTAATTATAACGTTGACCCGTTTGCATTATGCACTGTCAGTCATAATAGAAATTAATAGAATACTTCATAAAATAATATCGTAATGTGTAATTCAATGTTTGATACGATCTTCCATACAATGATTTTATTACAATAATACAATTGTCATTGAGCAGCAATGATAATCTTGAATAATACTTTTACATTTATTTACGCTGTACACTTGGATGATAACGAGGAAAGTAGTGGTAACGATGGAAACGGGATAAAAACGAGACTCCCACGAATCAGACGGGTTCGCGTAAAATCGGCGGACAGCTAATTACCGTTGGGCAACGGTGCGCGAGTTAATCGAAGCGGACAATCGAAGCGCTCGAGCGATGGTGTCCAGCTACGGGACTGTCAAACTAAATCCCGAACCTGAAACTCGAGCCCATCGGAAGCTGACGCTGCGTGTCGAAAGAACATGGCTTGTATAAATACATACATATGTATATAGCCCCTGGTCGTGTACGCCGTGCGTCGAACGCCCATAGAGCAGTTTCTCGCGTGTCGGCATTGCGCTGACTTTCATCTACTCATCTACGAAGACTCCGTTTTGGATCGCGCCCAACCCCTTTCGCACCATACATTGTCAGCCGCAAATATTATAGTAAAAATGCATACAATATTTCGTACAACGGTCCATGCAGCAATTGATGTATTTCGTGTAATTGTTGATCCAATAATTTATATATAAATCGGAGTTCTTTTTTCGCAATAATTTATATAATAATGATAAATTCTGGAGGATCGTTCTTTCTGTATGGGCGTTTGATAGGGGAAATGGTGAGCAGATAGAAATCCAGGTGGCTCGTCCTTATTGAGAGCGTAAAAATTGTGTCAGCCGGGGAAGAGAACGAGCCATATCCAGAGCACCGGGGGTCCTTATCGCGAGTCTCGGCTCGTACCTTATTACTCGTACCGCGCCCTTCCCTTTTCCATACCCACCTTGGGCCTCTCGTCACGGCTCGTAAAGTCTACGTGGTCGCAAAAGGTGGCTCGCAGGCCCCGTGGATCGGAAATTCCACGCGGCTTACGAGAGAGAGAAGGAAGGGTCTGGTATAATCCTTTGCCGACGCAACGGGGGCGCGCAGCCGATGTAGACCGACCCGATTCCCCCCCTCCGTCTGCCCCTTTATCGCGGCTGCCTACTCTAAATATTTCTCTGGCATGAATTTATAACGACGACCGACGCTAATAACGAGCCACGATACCGTACAAGCGTTCGTTTCCTAGCTATATGCCGCGGACGCTCGCTCGTGGGCCACGCTTACAACCCCTGCAAAGCTTTTTATACCGGTTGCAGCGACGAGATAAAATTGAGTATTAACTCTTCGCCAGATTTCGTGCATTGACAAACTGCAAAATCGCGACGTTTCAAGGATAAATGATATCCATCTTCAGTAAAAATCCTCTTATAGGAAAATTGAATGATCTGAGATTCAGCTACTGAAATTCTATTGGAGAAAGCTGGGAAACCGGTAATAAAAAGTGTAATCGCTAAAATTTCTAGACAGTGTCCGGCGCGTAGATTAATTAACCGCAATTGTCGACGTCTGCTTTCCTTGTCTCCCTCTTCTGCGGCTGGCGGTGAATTAGAATTTACGGCGTCCTCTCGATCGAGGTCTATCGGCTCGCTACTTACACGCGTCAACCGTGTCCCCCTTTTTCCCAAGCTTCCAAGAATCGCTTTCCTGCAAGCCGGTACGAAGATGATTTTTTACCAATTAGCCTAGTGGAAGAAACTCCGACGCGCCGTAATTGGGATTAAACGACGCTTGTCCTTACTCGATCATGTAAATTAATTGTGTCACGCTTGCAGGGAAAAGGGTAAACGGGTCGTCGCTCGGTTTTCGGGCACCAGCCTAATAAATTTATCCGTTCGAATTGTGCCCATTATTTCGCGGCTATTTTCAAACTATCAAGGTCTTTTTAATCCCGTTCAATTTCTGTTTCGAATTTATTTATGGAACCCTAAAGAATTTTATTAGATCCGAGTAGACGTCTATAAAAATTCTATGCGCATTTAATGGAAAGAAACCAGGGAACGAAATTGGCAAGCGCGGAGTCGGAGAAATCGCGTAACAGAGACACGTAATTGTTGACGATTCAGGAGACGCGTTCTGACACGCGTTGTCTCGGTTATCTCTGCCCCCGGATCTCTTGTTTCGCGAGCATATCCCGCGCGTTTTGCATACATTTACATATAAGAGGGACATCCTGGCCGTGGACGTCCTTGCCCGGCTGATCATTATCCTTCTCGGAAGGCCGACCATTTTTGCGATCGACAAGGCCGAATCTAATCGAGATATACCTGCCAGTTACTATCACCCCTGCGCACAGTTTACGGGGAATTTGTTGAATAGTAACGAGAGCATTTCGCATTCAATGTAAAGTTAGATTATTCATGGCTCGTACAATGTGGGTACTCACAATCAGCCGCGCGGTTCTTCTTTATTTCATTTGGTCGTTACGACAGAAATTTAAAAGCGAGTCACGAACGCAGACGAATTTTGAGCTCTCATAATTATCCTAAATAGAAATGTTGTTTTTCTTTGGAATCATTTTTTATCTCGGAGCCCTTTTGTCAATCGAACTTTTGCCGTCGAGCAACGAGACCGACTTTACAATAGGACAAAGCGACGGGGGCAAAGATATGTAAATCCTCGAAGGAGTCCTAGACAGTAGGGTTCCGTTCTATTTCCGTCGGTTGTTTTTCCAACGCCGTCCCTTTATGTACGCGGGGGAAGAATCGGTATATTTAGACTGAAAAAAGCCGGATGGAAGGACGACCGTCTGTTTATTTTCGGTATCCGTTTGAAAAAATGTTTGCCTCGGTGGCTGGACCAGTCGACAACAAATCGTTCCGCCCCCGAAGGGGTGGTCCATGCGGAGACGCGGTTCAGGGAAGTCGTAAAGTCCTATGAACCTCATCGTCGCGTTGACTTTTCTTGACTAGTATCGCGGGACCACGTCTCAGGTTTTAAAAGCCAGGTACGTTGGCTCAATTGAAATATCATTCTCATCTGGTTATAAACTTTTTTCCCGGGGTAACAAGATTAATCTACTAGCTGGGTCAGTGCGTTAGATAGACCGGCGCACGAGAAGGAATTTTAATTAATACAAGGAGCAATTGCCCGGTAGACGTATTGCCGCGTTTGATCTCTCAACAGTTGTTTATTATCAATCTTCGTTATGCTTCGGTAATTAAGATTAATCACTCTGATCCGTGCGGCAAGTCTGGATCGTTTGTAATTTTTTCCAGACATAATAACATAGAAATTAAACAAAGTACATCATCGTAATTCTAGAGTAAACCTGATTTCATGATTTTATTTGCCTCGGAACGAGAAACGATTAATAAAAAAATGAAAAGTCTCGTTATCTGTAGATTGAACAAACCGGACGATCGATCCGTGTTACGACGCTGTTGAAATCGTGGAAACGGCGGCACTCCGTTTGACGACCGTCCAGACGGATTAGCTGTAAAAGTGGTCGTCGCACGCGAAAGCGAGACGAGATGCTGTTTAAAGGTGAAAATCATATTTCGGGCAGTTTCAGCCAGCAGACCGTTAAATTTTATTAACTTATTTATTACTTCACTTTCTTACTCTCAATTAAAATTTAATTGCCGCATGTTTGTATTTAGAATCTGAATTGATAAAGGAAAAGCAAACCTTTCTAACAGGGAAAGTCCATAAAAATTCGTCTGCTCTTTTTTTTTTACATGTAACTAATGATCTCTCTCATCGTTTGGTACATTCCATTCTTAATTAGTCGATTAATAGAAATATCTGCAACTATAAGACGAGGCGTGTAAGTTTGCTAACTTAATTATCGGGTGAGCCTGAGATGAATCGAGGCACGCAGCCCCGTCATAAATATCTATTTACCGGTGGTATTGGTTTCGCTCTAATATATCGCCGGTGCGTTACGACTGGTCGAAGGCAGTTTTCCCACCGCGTGTGTCGGCCTGTCACGAGGGGTAATCGACATCGACTCTCGTTGGCTATTAAGTAATTGACCGGCACAATTGCCACGGCTAAATAATCTGCGTCGTAATTAATGACTACGTACTTCTATACATATGTATATCGGAGATAGCGTATCTGTGGCCTCTTGTTGGATTAGCGTAACGAGATAACTATACCTTCGAGAAGCGATATTGCACGTTGCGCGTATACCCGTTTTTCTGGAATCCTGCTTGTCTCGACGAAAAATATCTCTCGATATATGTTATGAAAAATTCAATAATCCAGGTTCACTAGTTTTACGAGAGACATCGAATTTTTTTATATTCTCCTAATTGACGATCCGCAGTGGTATCGTGACACAATGCAGGAAGTGTCTAAGACATTTTTGAGAATGCGGCAGAGTAGACAGTGTAACGAGTACGTGTAGCGAAGTGAAAGGGAAACGCAAGTTCGTCCGCAGGACTCGGTCGAAAACGCTTAATAAGCACGGGTCCCGAGCGTGAAAGCATAGAGCCTGTAATTTCGAAGAGGGAAACTCCTTCGCACGGTAGACCGCGTTAAAAAGCAGACGTTTTCTATTCTCTCTATCGAGCACCCCGAGCGTTTCCTATTTTCACCGAGCGTAAAAACTTTTCTTTTCCGGTTCTCTCAGTTTCCCATGCAAAAACAGGCTCAATTACGGTTACATAGTACTGTACTCTAGCGTAATTGCGTACGTCCACTTCCCGAGGATGATTCACGGCGTTTTGCATAAATCTTGCGAAAGTTCCGAGCAAGTTTCTGGGATCGTTCCACCTGAGATACCTCCAGGGCACTCTGAACCGTGTCACCCTACCATGAACCGCCCTTGATACACCGAGAGGGTCGGCAAGGATCGGGTATACCGAAAGTGGCAATTACATACGTCGTGGAAAACCGGTGAAAGGGGTTGAAAATGAGAGTCACTGGGCCTCGCATACCGTTATGGTAATCTGCCCGGCAGATGAGAGTTTGACGGGGCAGGATGTGCGGCCTGGTGTCGTCTACCGTCGGCAAATACGCTTAATGAAAATGGCTGCTGCACATTCAACAGCGGTAAATTAGAGCGGAGCGAGGGGGCCGTGATGCCATGAAGAAAACCGTAAACGAGCCACGTTTATTTATTCTACTTCGCCATGGAACCGCGGTCCTTTTCCATCGGTCGTCTCTTAATTAGAAAAATCGTGGAGTGATCCATTAGGATTTGCAGCGAAAATTATTAACGCGTATTTAAAACGAATATCGATAGTTTTCGAACTCGTAGGTTCGTGTATGAATAATAATTTATAAAGTGATAGAGAGAATTTGGGGTTCGAGACGGTGAAGGACCCGTATCTTCGAGACCCCCGCATGTGGAGCCCATAAGGCGATGGTATGCGGAGACAGACACTCGTAAAAATTCTATCTAACAACATCCGGCCGACGTCTCCCCATGGGGATAATTCAGAGATTAGGCGAACGCGTCGACGGCCTCCGTTTTGCTCGCCTTATACTACATGCAGACATTTAAGAGTGGGCACAATCGTTTTTGTCACGCTCCCATAGAAATCGATTCTATTTTTCAATCGCGTTTACGGTCAGCTTTCACTACGATATTAATATCAGCTTCGACTCTTGGATCCTGCAGCGAGATCGATGCTATGAATTTAACGTTGAGGAGTTATTAGCGAAGTCGAGTTGATTTCTAAAACGAGTAAATGGGTCAATGAATCGATTCCGTGTCGTCGATTTCGGAAATTTCCAACGGAAATTAACCGATCAACAGTTATATTCCAATTTCACTCGGATATTTCTAGCCGACCGAACGCTATTTGAAAAGGTACAAATAGTTTCTGTGTAGTTTTGTAGAACAAAGAATTGTTAAATTAGCTCGGGGAAAGAGTTGCAGACGGCTGTGTTCTATAGTCGATGGATTATTGAAATTCACGGTAGCGTGTCGAGGCAGGAAATGAAGAATTACGGAACAATCGATCAGCGTCTGCCACGGCTGACCTCTTTAACTGCTTTATCAAGTCGCTCGTAGTCGGATTAACTACGGCAGATACGCGGCGCGAGGCCCATAGAAAACGACCGCCACTGTTTAATTTAGTTTTGCAACGCTCCAATTGCGTAACCGCTATGATATCGTTCAGTTTCATCCGTGCGTTTGTAGAAAACATTTGTAAAACGCGGTAAGCGTGCATTTTTTATTCCCTATCAAATTCAGCTATTGTCCTACGAGCTGTGTCCGAGCCGGGAACAATCGAGCGTCTGGAAACCGCATCGGTGGGCAAAAGTGTCGTTTCATTGTAGACAAAGTATAAAGTTACTCTAGCTGAAACGCGTTAATGGAAATCTCCGCCGATACACTGGATATTTTATATGCCCGCTGTTGACCTTTCTGGCGAAACTTTTTTCCGATCGAGCTGGATCGAGGACGGGAAACGCGACACTCGTTCATTCAAGTGGACTATGATCTCTGCCAGAGGGTTAAGTTCAATATTTCGCCTGAGTCACTCTGCCGAACATCTGCGACGTTTGACAATACCCGAAGTTTAATAGGAAATCGTCGGCATGCTTCACTTTCGATCGACCGTAATTCGAATTTCTCTGTAGCCCCAGTGGCGGTAAGAAAACTGTATTCTGAGAAACAATAGCCGCCCTTATTCCCAGCGTAGTATCGATACCGAGAACCGCATGTACGCTACTCTATAACCGAGTTCTGAGCATAATCCTCGATTACGAGGTCATCGTGATTCACGACGATTTCACATATACCTTCCTAATTAATCGAGCCGGCTAGAAAAATGTTTTAAAGGGGAATATAACAGGTCGCCGGGGTGCCATAAAACGCTAGAGCAGGCGGCGAAACCTGTTATTAGGCGTAGTCGTTGCAGTGCAAGCTCATTTACATCATCCGCGAGATATATCCAATTATCAGTTGGTTACTTAAGCAGCTGGTAGCGCCGTATAAAAGTACATAAATCGTGGCGAAGTCGGAGAGCTCGGTTTATCGTTTCGCCTGCCGCGGTAAACCCGGGGTCACCGGCGTTATTAATGGAACAATTAGTATTAGCGGGTGTTAAGATGCTATCTGGTGTCTGTTTGACTCTTTAATCAGCCAGCGTTCCTGCCGGTGAATGTCAGTCGTGCGAAACGGTATTACAGGTATAGCTAGAATTCTCCGCAGTGTATCTAGTTAGAACAGTGGGATTTGATACGAATTAAAAATAGACGACGTGTCTTGAAATATTTTTATATAAATTTTACAAATAGATTCCTCGTCTTCTGTTGCAGCATTCGAACAACGTCAGGAAATCGGCGTCGGAGTATGTCGCCCGGCGGCAGGCGCGTAAGATCTCGATGACACGATCGATGACCTCGTCGCTGGCTCTGCCGATGAGCCAGCTGAGCGACGTGGCGTTCTTGCCGAACGCGAAGCCCGGTACCTTCTTCGCCCGCGACAACGTGTCGAACTTTATCGCGTGGTGCCGCAACAGCCTCGGCATCATCGAGTGCCTTCTCTTCGAGACCGACGACCTGATCCTGCGAAAGAACGAGCGACACGTGATCCTGTGCCTGCTGGAGGTAGCGCGACGCGGGGCCAAATTCGGCATGCTGGCGCCGATGCTCGTGCAAATGGAGAGACAGATCGATCGTGAGATCGCGGCCGAGAACAAAGCGGCGAACGGCGGTGCCCATGGGAGCGCGGGGACCGAGGAGAGCGACGACGACTACGCCGACATGCAGCAGGAGGAACCGTGCCTTATTTACGGGCCCCAGCCACAGATAGTCACCAATGACCTCAAGAGCCTCGACGAAATGGTGAGTCCATCAATATTACAAACAGTACTCCTTCATTTCTGTACTCTGCCCTACATTCAGTTTTCACTCCCGAACGTTCTGTATTTTCTGCACGTTCATTTTGTAAAAAATCTGCGCTCTGTCCGTTCGATCAAATGAATCGCGAAATATTTTGATCGATTGCTCAAAGAACAGTTAATCGAGTATGAACCGCGTTTAAAGTCGATTCGACGATCCGCTAGGCTAAGGCGTAGCTGAATGAATTCTTGGCGCCAGCGCATGAATTCTTGCGGGGACGTATCAGCAGATTGCTCTTTTCCCATTCAGCCGGCGCGCGAGCACACGGTTCTCTTGTCTGCTATATTCAAACAACGACTGCGGCTAAATCTCTCGGATGCCTAAGCGTGTTTTGCAGCGCGTGCCGCGGATTACTCGCACAAAGGATCGCAAGGAAATGGGACAGAGCTTTGTTATTCTCATTTTCCAAGCATAACGCGCGGCCCGAGTCTTGGGAAAATTCTGAGATGCTTGCGGCTTTCAGGGATCTCGTTCCTTCTTTGAGTCTCACGCATTTACGGAAGAATTCGATCTATAAAACGCGTTATTATTTTTCTACATCGCTGTCGACGAATGTTTCGTTTCGCACGATCTATCGATAATTCTGCCCCGGAGTTCAATTAGGATTCAACAAACGGTAGCCGCGGCGCGTATTGAAATCCAAATCTATTGTAGCACAGTGCTATATACCAAACCTAAAAGCCGCACAATGCGACCATAAATTCGTTCGGCGACCATTCAGGGAAACTTCTTGCGTAGCCCCGCTACTTGCGTGTAACCCCTAAAACACGCCGTGACCGACACGACGCGGGACAAACCGCGAGAGGATAATGCCGATTTCCCATGTAACGCCGGGTATATACGTACGCGCGTATTTACGATCGACGCGGAACGAAAACGAACTCGGGCAATTACGCTCGCTCCGGCCACGTGACGCGAACGCGTAACGTTTAGGCGGGTGATTTAGTGGCCATTTAATCCGTTTAGAGGTGGAAAACGCAAGCAGTTTTTGCGTACGCGGCGTCATGCTAATACGATTTACGAGTCGACAACGGAAGAGAGTTATCAAGCCGACGTTTAAACTGTCGTTCCTTAGACCTCCTTCGGCCCCATTCATGGAGATTTGCTTTTTTCCTATCTGTCGGGCCACCGCAGCGAGGCGATATTTTTTTTTTATTTTTGATTTACCTCAAGCGTAATTCGAGTTGATTCATAGACTGTTTCAAGATGTACTCTTAACTCATTGTATTTTAGCCGTATGCCGTTTGCTGCTTTCATTTCATTGAATTACATACAAGAAATACAAGCTTTTTTGTATTCCCTAAAACTAATTCTAAATGAATTATAATAAGATGACTCTTCTAAAAATGCGAATATCTCTGTGCCAATCGTTTTGGCTGGAGTCATGCCAGTTCGCGTTTAGGCGTGTCTGGATAGAGCTCCGTACCATGGCGAATTGTCGGACACGCAAACAGGAGAGGAGGACGCGTCGCGAACCAAGTGATTTCTGCGTCGTGAAATGCCGCGGGAAACGGTGCGAAAAAATTTTGTTGTAGGTGTTTTCTAGCCGGAACTAACCGCGTGCTTTCGAAAGCGACAAGAAACGCTCGTTAATTTGCTCGCTGAAACGAATCTGGGCTCGCCGTTTGAATCAGCTTCTACTATTCTGTCAAAACTTAAAAACAGCCTGTTTCAATCTCTTGGAATCGTGCATTACCTTTGAAATTTGTTCGACGTATCTGTAGTTGAACAATGATCGAATAACATTTTCCTGTTCTGCGTGCGAGAGAATGTGACGCGTTGGAAAACGTTTTCTCACGAGATGGTTCATATACGGAAACCGCAGCTGCGTTTATTGGCTTCTACGTGCGCAGAACGGCGGGTGTCAACGCCCATGTGGGGCACACGAAAGGGAAATCTGTGCAGGTCGATCGATTTCGTAAAGAGTCGATCCACGTGCGCCGCTCGTGGGAGGCGCGCGCGGATAATACGATTGAATTCGCCTTAAAGGTACAAGAAATTCAAAAACTTGTTTGCCCTGTACGAAATGTAAATGTTTTGGAGTCTCCTTGAAAGATTTGCATAGCTATCTTGAGAGTCGTCGGTAGCTCGATTTTATTGACCGTTAAAACAGGAATAAGGACCTTTAGTGCTGTGTAAACAGAAGCCCATTGGAATTTTATTATTTCGCTGTTGGTCCGATATAATTGGCTATAATTTAGCGCTAATGGTCGTATCGATTTCGAAGCGACCGAAAGTAGAAAAGAGTGCGTCAACCTCTTATTCAAACACACCGTTTAAACAGGAACAATGTTCGTCTCAGAGTTCGACTTTTACCATTCGTTCGCATATAATTACAAGAGTTTTATCGCAAATATCCCGGAGTCCCGTTGCTCGTTTTCGCGAAAAATGTACGTGTAGCGGTTTATCGATTCGAGAAAGGCTGACAAGCGTAGTCGTTTTATCTGGACACGGTAAAACACGCTGCGTCGGCCCTATTTACGGTGAATCATTGGAACGGCCCGAGTACCAATTCCGGAACAGCCTATTCGATTCTCGGACTGATAAAGATATTAGCTGATGGTAAAACGAACCATCATTATTTATAACTCACTGGTACTCGAAGAATTAGTCATATGTTGTGAACCAAATTTCCCTCGGTACGTCCTTTTATCATTATGAAGTACTATTATCTATCTTATCTCTTATCTTCCTCTATTAAAGAGCTAGGTAAACCAGGTACTTGTCATGTTTAGTTACTAGAGCAGTTGTTAATTCTTATCAGTGATCCCTATATTTCTACTTTATTGCGTTCTGAAGTAATTCTCGATCCGTTCTGAAAATTGCTCGAAGCTCGTAGTCTTAAAGGCAAATTTCGTCAGGTTCCGGTCTAGACAGAGTTGCATGGTGTCTATGGAGATCGCCAAGAATGATAACGGCATGGTGGCTCGGCGAGCCACCTTCCAGACCGGAGGAGCTTCGGCTCGCAAGCGCCGAAAGCTCGTTGTATTGATCGCGTTTAGTCCATTTCGTGTCAAGTTCAAGCGCAAAGTCCTTAAGTTTTCTACCAAGGACGAGGCAGCTCTCTCCTTCTTCCCTCGGGATATCGCCACGAATTGGCCCGACGGTTCCGGTCAATAACGGGGAGAGAAACGAGTGAATCCTATCTTTTCCTTGGTATTTTCTTACAGAGAAACCAGCCATTTATTCGACTGTGGCTGAGAAATTCCACTTAAGTCACTCTTCGTTCACTCGAACGATCAGTCCGAAGCTCAAGCGAATGATGATTTTTAATAACGCTTGACCGATTTCCAATTCGTTTATCAGAAGCGCCTCCGCGATGTTTTTCTACGGATATTTGGCCAGCGTTTCATTTCCGCTGATAACGTACATTCATACTCCGCTCTCTCTGATACGATTTTTATGAATATTTGCTCTCCTTCACGATCGTCGAGTGAAAATCGAAAGATCACTTTCATTGAACATAGTGCATAGTTGAAATCATTCGGTACTTTGGATCGAGTACTAAGCTCTAATTTTAAAGTAGTGACTTGACGCCTTCTTTAAAAGAATTGATTCATAACTCCGACAACTATGTTTAAACGGCAAACAGCCGGGATTTCACAGTGCCGTTTGCAAATAGAAATGAACCAAGATTACTTCCCGAGTAACGTTGTTAAAATAATGACGCGTACGCCCAAAAGTCGCATGATTCATTTCAGACTGGTGTCTAAAGTCAGTGTTTCATATTTCCCGTTATCTGCGAACAAGATGAGTCAAAAGGTCGTCTAAAATAATTTAATATTCACCGATAAGATTTGAGGACGCGATCGTTCAGCGAACCTCTATTAAATATTAAATTACATGTATAAAACGTTGGCTAGTGAAGTCATATGATTGTTGTTACTGATTTAGCTCGCAATATCGCGTATCGCTTAGTCATAGAACGGAACGTTTATTTTCTACAATTCGAAATTGCGGATCATTCGTTCCGAGTACGAATAAATATTGGCAATCAAGTAATTGATATCAATTCAAGCAGTCGCGTTATCACTGAACACTCAGACAATTCACAGGATACTCTACAATATCGATTCTTGGGAGACTCTCAATTAATTACAACAGCATTTTCATTTATTCGTTTCCTGTTCGTCGTTCGAAGGAAAAAATTTGCGGGAACAGGCATGAATTCTCTACAACGTCGTTTCCTGATCTGTTATATCGGATTTTTTAACGAGCGCGAATTTAGGTCGTCCTCGCTGACCTGTGCCGAAGGCGGTGCGACGTCGTTACTCGTTAATTACGGTTGGAAGGGGGGACTCGCACGTGACACAATCGGCAGAAGAAAATCTCTCGATTTTCTCGAGCCTCGAGAAAAAGAGGAGGACCGCGCGCGTTCCCTTTGATCCAGCGAGAAACTGCCATTTATGGCAGTGCCCGTGGAGGCGAAGCGTGTTAGTTATTACGTGTAATTAGCCCGAGATAGCGCAGGGAGTGAGAGAGAAGGCTACCGAGCCGTGCAAGGTCTGGCTGCGGTCTCCGCTCCGGTCTCTTAGCTAATCACTGTTTATCGCTGACTTTCAACGCGACAGACACATTTTCTAGTCCTAGCCTTTGCCTGGCTCGAATCATTGCCTTCGCTTTAACTCGGCGTACAGGCTGCTAGGAGGAAAACTGATAGGAGAATTGATTCTGTTACAAGAATTAAGGGAAATCTATATTTTTATCGTCAGTGAATACATGACATTTGGATTATTGAATTATCAAGATAGACTGCAGGAAACGTGTTGAATTTCGTCACGATTTTTCGCCACTCGAGTCACCCCTGAGACACTCGAGTTAAAAAGAAAAAATCGAGACGCAGGGGAGCCCAGTAACCCCCTGGCTTTCTCTCGAGGGTCCTGAAGCAGAACACGACTGGTTCGCCACCTTCCGTCGTTCGATCGGCGACATCTAGGTTATTC